TGCAATGTTCGAGAGCATTACCAGAGCTCTAAAGGAGGATTCTTCCCCATTTCAATTACCATAACCTGCTCACTTCATATCTGTACATAAACAGACTCTTCCTATATTTCTATGATGGGATTTTACATTTTAGGACCCAGGAACAGAAAGGAAGTATCATGGTAACAGGAATAATGGATTTGGCAGCCATGTGTTTTCCATATTATTACCAGGAAATACCATGTTTTTCGGTGAAGTGCTGTGTTTGTATTGGGTTTAGAGCAGGGGTGGGCGATATCTCGATATTTTAAATATATCGAGATATTTTTTAAACTCGATATGAATTCTGACATATCGTATATATCGATATAATGCTAATATTCAATTCTAATTTCGCAGCTTCTCTTGTTTGTCTTCTCTGTCGTCGCCCGCGCGCCCCCGCCTCCCTGATTTTGTACTGTACTGTGAGATATGTGATGTGAAGATCACGGTATACATCGTACTGTGAGATGTATATCGTGAAAATATCGTACCGAGAGATTTGGATATTGTTACATCCCTAATCGTGACCCTCCCCACCGTATCGTGAGCTTTTCAATGATATCGCAATAAATATCGTACCATGAGGTTCATACCGTGACGACATCTGGATACAATGCACTTTCTGTTCGATACGATATATTTCAAATCGATTTGATACGGTTCAATAAAAAATAAAGGCTAAATCATGTCTGTGATACTAAAAGTCTTCGTTAAACCACTTCTTGTGCAAAAGTTCATATGAAACACAAACATTTTAATCATCAAAACTGTGAAAATGTCTCACAAAAACAAGTTTCCTTCTTCTAAACAAGCAACAAAACTGTAGCACTGTAACAAAATAATTCAGTAAAATAAACCAAAAATACTCATGGCGATTTATCAATACAGCAGCCCACGATATCGATACTGTATCATGACATTAAACGATACGATATATTGATATTTCGATATTTTTGCACACCCCTGAAAAGAGTAAAACAAAAGGAAAAAAAAAAAAAGCATTTCGAGTATCCCAATTATTTACTGAGATGAGCTTATAAGTGCTTTTCACAACTCTCAGAAACTGGACAACGGCAACAACTAGCATTCTAACAGCACACTTCCAGATACTCTTTATCATTTGAAGCAAACAGAGGACTTATTCTGACCTAAAGAGCTACTCACACACTATGTCTATACTGGAATAAGACAAATTTTTGCTCAAATGCCTGTGGAAAAAAATTGTGTATTGTCCTTTTAAGCCTTCAGTTTTGTAAGAATAATGTTGATGTAATCTCGCATTTTTCCAGATATTTAAAAAAAAAAGGCAGGTTACTGTATATGAGCAGTTATTGACGTTAGACCCGTGGCTCTCCTCTGTATCCGATCGTTGGTTTACAGACATTAGAAAGTGTTAGCTCGTCAAATGCTCCATACATTAAGCTGTTAAAAAGTCTCTGCTAATGTTTTCCACCCACTCCCTGGCAGAGCGCTCATGAAGTCAGACAAGTTAACGTTTGCCAAAACTATCCCAGATCTTGTTTATGCGAAGATTATAATTAAATGTGAATATCCCCTCTTATTTTTCCATAAGAGAAACTGTCAAAAAATGTAACGGCTCCACTTTAAGCGGCTACGATTAACTACGCCAACACGAAACAAACCAAAATGCAAAAGAGAAATTTAAAAGGGCCCATATTATGTTGCTGATTTATGTTTTAATGTTGTTTCCTCGTCAAAAACAGACTGTACCTGGAATTGTGTTGGGCAAGTGACTTTAAAACTGTAATGTGTTATTTGTTTATGACTTGTTTCTGTCATTTTAAAGTAATTTGTTAAATTACAATATTACTGTGTTTAAAATGTAAAATATTACACAACTATTGCAGCACTTTTAAGTTATTCTCACCAAAACAACTGTGAAGATGCTGAACTTTTGCGCCGTATATGGACTGAACCAGGACTAAACCAGGACTGAACCAGGACTAAACCAGGACTGAACCAGGTCTAAATCAGGACTAAACCAGAGCTGAACCAGGACTGAACCAGGACTAAACCAGGACTGAACCAGGTCTAAATCAGGACTAAACCAGAGCTGAAACAGGACTGAACCAGGTCTAAACCAGAACTGAACCAGGACTAAACCAGATCTAAACCAGGATTGAACCAGGTCTAAACTAGAACTAAACCAGGTCTAAACCAGGACTAAACCAGAGCTGAAACAGGACTGAACCAGGTCTAAACAAGAACTGAACCGGGACTAAACCAGGACTAAACCAGAGCTGAACCAGGACTAAAACAGGACTAAAACAGGACTGAAACTAAACTAGAACTGAACCGGGACTAAATCAGGTCTAAACCAGGACTAAACCAGAGCTGAACCAGGACTAAAACAGGACTAAAACAGGACTAAACCAGAACTGAACCAGAACTAAACCAGCTCTAAACCAGGACTAAACCAGAGCTGAAACAGGACTGAACCAGGTCTAAACAAGAACTGAACCGGGACTAAATCAGGTCTAAACCAGGACTAAACCAGAGCTGAACCAGGACTAAAACAGGACTAAAACAGGACTAAACCAGAGCTGAACCAGGACTAAACCAGGATTAAACCAGGACTAAACCAGAAGTGAACCAGAACTAAACCAGGTCTAAACCAGGACCAAACCAGGACTAATCCTGGACTAGAACTTGGAATCTAGGACCACCCCTGAGAGAACCCCAAACTCCATACTAGGGATGCATCGATCCAGCTTTTTCAGTTTCGATACTGATTTTAACACTAGCTTTATGCATCTGCCAATACCCAATATCAGAGTAGAAACTGAAAACAAACATAAATGAACACAGAACTGAACCAGATATGTTATGTGGCTGTTCTTTGTCCCTACATTAACAGTGTGTTCGTTTATCCATTAGACTCAAAGATCCCAGGACGGTGCAACAACTCGAAAGAACTCGAAGGAGAGACCGAGCACTTGTAACGATATTCAAATCTCTCGGTACGATATTATCACGATATGCATCTCACGGTACGATATTTATTGCGATATTTTGGAGAAGTTAATGTAACTGTACACAGGACACGTTTCTACTTTTAAAACACCTTGACAAGATTTTCGTGTGAATTATTTCCATCATAATCCCAAGAATTCAAGAAAAAACATATTTCTTCATGTTGTCTGCGCTGAAATGAATCATGGGATATGTAGTTCTGTATTTTTATAAGCTGTTGCTGCTCTAAAACCTGCATTTAAGCAAAAAAACTTGTAATTTGATATATTGTGACAGTCCAGGATATTATTGTAAGACTTTTGACGATAAAATATCACAATATTTCAGTTATTATTACATCCCTAGTATGAACTGTTTTCATTGTGTTTGGACACTTTGGTGGTTTAAATGACACGAAATTTCAGTCACTCGTTTTACTGCGTCTGTATCACTGCCTGTGGGTTTGGTAGTTGGTGTCGTCCATGTTTTTAGCCCATTTCCTGCTCATTAACATGTCAAAATTGTCGACTATCACGCGACACCAACGCTTTCACTTCACTAACATACTGAATTATAATATTTATACTGAATTCTTACTGGAGGTTGCGTAGTTGAAGCACAGGCTTATTTTGGAGCCTGGTACTCGGGCCAGTGCTAAAGCAACAACAGTTTTCCGTTTTTTTTTTTTTCCGAACACACGAAACATAATAAAACGGCTGAAGTGTGGATGTGACGTCATACCCGAGATCTGAGTGGGAGACGGACGGATAAACGAACGCAGCATAAACACAGAATAACTTTGTATAAATTAAAGTAAAAAAAAAAAAAAACAACCTGAGACTTTCTGGGCTGACAATGCAACCAGGAAATTGACATCTTACATACATTTTTAGGCCCAAAACGAATAACTGCTAAACTGATATTTAGAAACCAATATCCGGTCCTGCAAATATTTCAGTATCGCTGAATGAACTAAAGATGAACTAAAGATAAAAGGGAGCTATTGAAAACTACCGCTTCATAACATCACAAGGTCGTGTCGTAGTACTCGAGACTGGTCTTCGTTTTTGTTTTGTTTTTTTCGGTTTCGGTCTCGTCTCAGACTCGAGTGCGTTTGAACTCGATCTCGATGGCACTTGGTCTTGGACTCCAGGTATGACCCTCGACGATTGCGACTGCATTTCGTTACGGACGGTAAATGCTCGGAGGCTGCTCAATATCACTGCAAAACCATTAAGAGAATGTCACTGTAAATGTTAGGAACTCGGAAAAAAACAAAACGCTTGATTAACTTTTCCGTTTGTTTCTTGTTTTGTGTAAAACGCCAGTGGAGGTGGGATTAAAGAACAGGTTCTCAAACTGCGGGTGTGGGTCCAAAAAAGGGGCACAGAGTCTAAGTTTAAGTGCAGTACAGTTTGCTTGACCTATTTTAAGCTTAAATGAACTTTAATCTGATAAAATGGAGATAAATTTATAAAAAACATTGATATAAATGTGCCAAAATATCTGTAAAATACAAATAAACGTAGGAAATGACAAAAATGGTCTTGATTTGGTCTCGATGGGCCGCGGTCTTGATCTTGTCTCGTTCTCGACCTTTAAAAGTCTCGATCTTGCCTCGGTTTTGACTCTCAGGGGTCTTGGTCTTGTCCTGGTCTTGGAACCCTGTGGTCTCAGGCTCGATTAGTGCGCTCTTGACTACAACACTACCACAAGGTTGAACAGAGGATTTGAGCTTTGGAGACGTTGCCAGACTAATAATTCAGGATTACTCATAAAACAAAACACAAAACACAACTTCAGGTCGGTTTTTGACGAGGTGACAACCTTCTAATGTGACTTAACACTCACAAGAGTCAATTTTAAGTAATATAGGACCTTAAAAAAATGCAAAAAAGCTGAACATTACATTATAAATAGTAGGAATTTGTATTTTAACAGGCAATATTATGACCAATGTTCAGTTTACACTCAAAATACAAATACGAGCTTGTGTTCAAACTTACTTGCAGGCTGTATGAAATCTTTGTACAGTCCATACGTCATCAGCGGCTCTGGCAGGCTCCTGGAGGAAGACGGAAAACAAAGAAAGAGAGAAAGAAACAGGAGAGGGATGGATGAAGGGAGGGAGGGAGGGAGGGAGGGAGAGATGGAGAAGGAGAGTTCAAGTTAGCGAAGGGGGACCGAAATAGCTCTTTTTTATAGGGTCCGCTCGCTCAGGAATGATTAATGCGGCAGGGACGGCGGGGAGAATTAGACGGTGTATGCGTAGTGATAACCAAGTTCATCTGAAGGTACTGGACACAAGCCAAAAGCTCTTAGTCTCAGAGGAAGCATCAGAGTGACCGTGGATGGGACCAGGACGATGTAATAGACAAGTTAGAGAATGTATGGAGATGTAATGATACAGAGGTGTTTTATAGAGCGAAATATAACGCAATAATCAGTATTTCAGGAGGATGTTGCATTATTTACTGGTAATTGAAAGTAAAACGTAAAAAAAAGATGATTTCAGACATGATTTTCATTAAAGCTACCAGCTGTAAGTTTGATTTTGATTGTATATTTTGTCACCAGTAGATGACAGATGGAAAAGGGCCCAAGCAGAAGTAAACAACAAGGAAAAAAAATTCAAGTTAATGCATCTGATATAAAAATGTATTGAACAGATACATATGTACTCTAGTTTATGAAACTGTTGACCTTTTTTCTGTACCATTTTTGGTTCTAAAGTTCCATACGTTTTAAACAGACCATGTATGAAACATGCAACAAAAATTATTTGCCAAATTTCAAAGACCTGAAAATCATGTAAATAAATGGATGTATTTCATCATATCTTGTGTTATTCCATCTTTGAACTGTTGATGAAGGTACATGATTAAAAAAAAAAAAAAAAAAAAACGCATTTAAAATGATAAAAATTTGCTTGGAAGGACTGACATATTTTATAGAAATAGTTTCCTTTCATTTTGAAGTAATATTAAAGTTTTCAGAAGAAAAAAGTTGACAAATTATGTAAAATCATGCACCTTCTACTTGTTTGCACAATTTTCCCTCCATTACTTTTCCCTCCGTTACCATGACCTTTCTTAATAAAAAATCTCATGAGTCAAAAAGTAAGAGGTTTTTCAACCTAATCTTGTACCATATGGTAGAAAACTATATGAAGCAAATATTCAAACCAGTTTGTTAAGGATATGTAAGTGAGAACCAAGAGTTATCACTGTTTGGATTTATTGACCAAAAAGTGCTGCATATTTCATTCCCTCCGTTACCGACATGAGTTTTTAAATTTTTTGTCAACAACTTGAAAGAATATCACAGGTTTAACTTGACCCTGTTGGAGTGTAACTCTTTCCTACATTCTGATACTTTACTTATTTCAATAGTTCCTCTAGTTTCTGAATAAGAGACATTTGAATGTCAAAAATCTGCCCCTGTTTCCCTCCGTTACCACTTGACCGGACCCAAAACCTGTTCTCCCCTCCTCTGGCTTTTTTCCATGGAGATGTTATTGCTTTGTCTGGAATGTTTCACAGTATGGCATTAACCCTTACCAGCAGACATGTTTTATATAACCGTGCATAAGTTTCCAACCATAAAAGATAGAAGTTTACTTTTTTTTTTCCTTGGAAAGCTGAGAAAAGCGGTTTTCCAGCAAGTGTCCAATAGGAATTAGGGAAGTACAAGTTGGAGTTTAAATCGCAAAATTAAGAAAAAATCCAGGCGAGGGCAAATGTACTAAAACTGCCCTTAGGTCTGGAAGGGTTAAACCTTTCAATCTTCATGGAAACCAAACTAGACCAAGTTACAGGTATGAAACCACCTATAACTGAATAAATATAAAGGTAGAGCTGTTTAAAGTCATACTGTGGAACATTCCAGGCAGAGCAATGACACAGAAGCCAAAGAAACAAAACGATGACGGACCCACGATCGAAAAGTTACACACCTTTTAAGAGTCTTGTGAACCTTTTCGCAAACACAGCCTCACGTTTTCTCGGAGTTTCTCTCGCTTTATGCCGTTCGCTCACTAACCTCAGGACCTCATTACGTTTAAAAATCCCGTTCGTCATATTCTGCTGTTTTTGCCGTGGCAGTGTGCTGGCATACATTAGCACGTGTTAATTAGCAAGAAGGAATGCTGCTTTGCCAGTCGAGATAAAAGTAAACTTCGCAAAATGCCTGAAATGTCTCCGTAAATTACAGAGATCACCATGTTTTTAGATTTAAAACTAAACAGACGCAATATTAATACAGACTAACGTGGTCATTAGGAGGCAAAAATGTGAGAAAAAAATGATGGAAAAGACCAAAAGGCAAAACCAGAAATGAAATTAAATGAAAAGTCGATATATAAATTGGCTTTATTCATATTCATTTTAAAGATAAACTAGGTAACTTTTCTGATGAAGGGTTTGCCACTTGGAGATGTTAATGGCCTTGCTTAAATGTTTAACAGTATGGCATTAATTTATCTCCATGGAAACAACCACTAAACCGACTTACAGGTCAGATCTGTGGAGGGGCAGGCTCAGAAGGATTTACAAAAGTTTTGAATTATACATTTTTAGTCCAATACTGATTATTTCCATTATGCTGCAGAAATTTTTAAATCAAATTTCAACCAGTAAAAGGTAAGAAATAAACTAAATGGATGATTTATGGTCGAGAATATTTAAAGGGCCCATCTCATGCAAAATAACTCTTTTCACATTGTATCTTCTGTACATAAACAAGCACAATTTGGGTTTTGGAACATCCATTACACAATAGTTATTAAATCTTACTGATTTCTTGGAGTCAGTCACAGACCAGGAACTATGAAAGTCCGACTATTGCTCCTCCCCCCGCCCGTCCTGAGAAAGCACAGGCTCCGCCCTCCAAACGTGACGTAGGCTCTGAGTGAGCCGCCCTTCCTCCGCCATCTCAGGGAGGGAGGGGGAGACAGACGTGCACCCTGATAGTGGCAGGAATAAACTTTTATTCATCATGGAGATACAGCGCGTTCGGACGAGGACTTTGAGGAGCACGAAGCTCAAGCACCGCGTCCACATCAGCTGAACATTACTGATTGGTAAAGTATTAATAAACACTAGTAGATAAACTTATTATATCGTGTTCACTGCAGTGTAGAACAATGAGCTTATGCTGTCGCTTTTGTTTAGGTGTTCATGTGGGAATTGTCAGACGATGCGGGTGGAGGTGGTGGAGCGGGGGAGGGGGCGGGTGTGAAGAGTTTTCTGCTACGTCAAACGCGTCATAGGTGTATCTGCCGCGTCCTCGTTGTTCAGCTTTAGTTCGTTGTCACGTGGGAGGGTGGCAGAAATACGCTGCAATTTATTTTAAAAACGCCAAATCAATCTAAAAAACACTTTGGCGACATATACAAGGCCCACACATCACTCATAGAAGGTAGAAAGCTCTGAAAAGTTGATTTTGCATGAGATGGGCTCTTTAAGAAATTAGGAATTTTTTTTTTTTTTTATACAAAGTCACAAATATATGTTCTTCTGGTCTAATTTGTTGATCGTGTGTGTTGTTTTTGTGATAATCTGTTTTCCTTACAGTTGCATTTGTCTATTCATACTGCTTACCTTAGATAAAGCTTTAAAGCACTAGTTATAGTTTTCACGTCCCAGTCCTCGCTCGCAGACAGATCCACATCGTTGCTCTTCTCATCTGTAAAAAAACAAAACAAAACACTGAATCAGAAACAACATCTAATCATATTTTAAACAAGACATATTGTACTTTTATCTGTTATATAATTATAATTATAATCTATGACCTAGCGTTGTAGTCAAGACCGCATAAATCGAGACCACAGGGTCCTGAGACCAGGACAAGACCAAACTTCTAAGAGTCGAGACCGAGACTTTTAAAGGACAAGACTGAGACAAGACTGAAACCATAGCCCATCGAAACCACATCAAGACCATATTTGTAATTTTTGACCTTTATTTGTATTTTAGACTTATTTTGGCACATTTATATCAATGTTTTTATGAATCTATCTCCATTTTATCACTCGTCGAGCGTCAGACCTCGAGACCAAACCAAGACCTAGTCTGAGCACCTTCAAGACCGAGACGAGACCGAGTCCAAGCGTTTACAAGACCAAAACAAGACCAAGTCCAAGCGCTTACAAGACCGAGACAAGACCGAGCCCAAGCACCTTCAAGACCAAGACAAGACTGAGTCCAAGCAACTTCAAGATCGAGACAAGACTAAGTCGAAGCGTCTTCAAGACCGAGACGAGACCAAGTCCAAGCGCTTACAAGACCGAGACAAGACTGAGTCCAAGCAACTTCAAGATCGAGACAAGACCGATTTCAAATGTGGACTTGACTTACTACCGCAAACAGAGCTCGCCGGAAGTTGTCATCGCATGTTTCCAAACGTCTTCCTGGTTTGTGACGTAAGCCGACTTCTTCTCTCAAACAGAAAACACTCTGTTCCACCTTGTGATGTCATGTGGTAATACAGGAAGTGCTCCACTGTGCTGTTAAACTCTATACACTAGAAAAACTAGAAAAATTTTGAGGATTTTTGACCTGGATTTACTCATCTCTATTAAACTAAAAATAAAAGGAACGTGAAAAAACTATCGCTTCATGACATCACAAGGTGGAACAGAGAATTTTGAGCTTTGGAGATGTAGAAAAACTAATAATACAGGATTACTTAAACGTGTGTGAGTGAAACGAAACAACTCCAGGCATGTTTTTGAGGAGGTAATAATACTCCAGCCTGTCTTAAAGCTCACAAGAGTCAATTTTGCGTAATGTGGGACCTTTAAGACAAGACAGACCTTTATTTGTTCCACACCGGGGGAAATTACACTAAATAACATTATTATAATTCACAAGTGGCATCCTGGAAAGCCCAAACATGTAATATAAATATGTAACTTGTAATTATCCAGATGAGGACAAAAGCAGTGGCAGCAGCCTGGGGGGGGTTTGCATCGGGCCCCAGCGGACTTTTGACGGAAGTTACAGCTTGTGTTCCTTCGCTACTCATTACAACTTTAATTAATCCCTTACTACTCGACCGTCTCCATGGGGACGGGGGAGCCGTGTTGTGCTTGAACAGAGAAGAGGGGAGGGTAGCAATGTTAAGTAACCTCCGATGAATAACAAGGCGCGAGTGTGAGCCGAAAGTGCTTGAATTCAATAAGGAGTAGCGAGGTGAAAGACTGGAGTTCATAGGAGACGGAGCTTCTCGATCGGGTTTCGACGCTGATGTTAAAGACGCGGTTTCGGAGCTTTCTACCGTGTTATAACGTCGTTCGCTACTCAAAACCATGGTTCAAGAGGCTTTATATGTCATCCATGAGTGTTTGAGTAATTTAATGATCTCTCCCGGGTCGTATTTGAACCGATTTAACTAGGGCTGGGTATCATTAAGAAGTTGCCGATACGATACATACCTCGATACACAGGCAAGGCAAGGCAGGTTTATTTGTACAGCACAATTCGTACACAAATTCAAAGTGCTTTACAGAATAAGAAATACATTAAAATCATAATAAAAACAAATCAAAACATAAACAATCATGAAGATTAAAATGAAAAAAGAGGGACATAAATTGGAGAGAAGAGTGCGGAATGAAAAACCTTTCAGTTATTTGCACAGTTAAACAGAAATGTTTTGAGTCTGGATTTAAACAGCGTCACAGAAGAGTCTGTCTCACATGTTCAGACTGTTCCAGGTTTTAGCTGCATGAACCTGAAACTCTGACTCCCCTTGTTTAGTCGTGACTCTGGGCACCAGCAGGAGGCTGGTCCCTGAGCTCCTCAGAGTGTGAGATGGTTCATATGACACTAACATGTCACAGATGGACTTTGGTGCTCGGCCGTGGAGACACTTGTACAAACAGAGCTGCTTTAAAGTCTCTGAGCCACAGGAGCCAGTGCAGAGACCTGAGCACAGGCCATGATACGATACATATCTCGATACAGTGCACTTTTGATTCAATACGATATATTTCAAATCGATTTGATACGGCTAAATCATGGCCGTGATATTAAAAGTCTTTGTTAAACCACTTCTTGTGCACAGCTCATATGAAACACAAACATTTTAATCCTCAAAACAGTAAAAATGTCAAATGTGTCGCATAAATGAGTTTCCTTTCACTAAACAAGCAACAAAACTGTAGCACTGTAACAAAATAATTTAGTAAAACACACCTAAAAATACTCTTGGCGATATATCGATACAGCAGCCCATGATATCGATACTGTATCATCACATTAAACGATACGATATATCGATATCCCGATATTTTTGCACACCCCTAGTTTTAACGATTCAAACATCCACGACGTGACAATTCTCCATAAACATACAAAGCGGGATACAAAAAACATACACTACAGCTTAACAAATCTGACGCAACGTGCAGTAGTTTCATTAGAAATTCATCTGTAATGTGGTAGCGCTCTGAAGGGGGAGTGACTTAACATGGAGAGCAAAAGGGAGGGGAGTCTGTGTTCGTGAGTTTTTGCAGAGATTTTAGGCTTAAATAAAACAAGATGGATTATATATTGTAGTTAGGACTGGGTATCGTTCAGAAGTTGCCGATACGATACATACCTCGGTACTTTTGATTCGATATGATATATTTCAAATCGATTCGATACGGTTCAATAAAAAATAATGGCTAAAAAATCATGGCTGTGATACTAAAAGTCTTTGTTAAACCACTTCTTGTGCAAAGTTCATATGAAACACAAACATTTTAATCATCAAAACAGTGAAAATATCAAATGTGTCGCATAAACAAGTTTCCTTTCCAAAACTGTAGCACCGTAACAAAATAACTGAATAAAATATACCAATAAATACTCTTGGTGATATATCGATACAGCAGCCCACGATATAAATACTGCATCATCACATTAAATGATACGATATATATTTTGATATTTTTGCACAATCTAATTGTAGTAAAAAAACATTTTAACTCTATTTAAGTACCGTATTTTCCGGGCTATTAGTCGCTCTGGATTATAAGACGCACTGTCATTAAATGGTCTATTTTTGAACTTTTTTCACAAATAAACCGCACCGGACTTTAAATGAAACACAACAGTGTGATGGGTGAGTGGTTTTGTTTGTTTGTTCGTTCACGGTGACTCTGGGCTTTGTTCAGTTGTGGCGTGTAGGGAGGGTGTGTCTGGGACCAACGGATTGTCGGCGTGTTCGCAGTGACTCAGTTGTTCAGTCGTGTCTAGAAGCGGCACATTGCGCTCGCTTTTTCGGTTCGTTCCTCCGTTCCGTTCCTCGTCGGCGTGGAGTGATGAGTGTGTCTGTGGGTGTTTTTCGCTGTGCAGTCGTCATCTGCGCTGTGTGTGTTTGTAGTTTACTGAAGTCGTGCTGGGACACCCAAGTGGATTCGTGTATAGGGCGCTCTGGATTGCGGAGCGCTGTCATTTTTTGATGGTGTTGGAGGCTTATTAAGAGCGCGTCCAATAGCCCGGAAAATAAGGTACATAAAAATTTTTGCAATATATCGATATTAAACAGAAAATACACTTGCAACTCACAATTTCAGGGAAAAATTATTTAAAAAATGGTAAATGTCACATTTTTCTATAGCGCTTTTCCACCTCCAAGGCACTCAAAGCGCTTTACAACAAGGAACCACTCGCCCCTTCACACACCAGTGTACGCAGACACTGTGGGCGAGGTGGGTTAAGTGTTTTGCCCAAGGACACAACGACAGCGTTTATCTGTGGGAGCTGGAATCACACCAGCCGACCTGTGGGTCAGTGGATGTGGCCGCTCAACCTGCGATGCTTATGTCGAGACTGGGATTCAAACCCCCAACGTGGGCGAATCAGTGGGCGAATGCTCTACTGAGCTCCTGCTCTTATATTTATATCTAAAGTCACAGTTAAAGGTCGACTGTGTAACTTTTCGGTTGGGGGTCTGTCTCTGCTTGTTTCTATATAAGATATGTCATTACTCTGCTTAGAATGTTCCACAGTACGACATTAAACAGCTCTACCTTAAGACCGTTTATACTTCTGCGTGGACTCAACCCACACTGCCGCCATCTCAATCGCCGTCGTTTTTGATTTATGGATCTGCGTCGAGGTCTATGCACCACGAAGTAATTCACCTCCACAATGCTAGAAGGTGAGGATTTTAAAATGGCATTTGCGGAGAAACGTAAATGTCTGTAGAGAGGACGTAGAGAGGACCAATCACAGCCCTCGTTGTCTGCGTCGCTTTCCCTCACTGTCTGCGTCGGTTTGACACGTAGTTACAAAATTTGACGATTTGACGCACGACCATGAATTGGGCTTTAGATTTATTCAATCAAATGTGGTTTTATAGCTCAAAAATACCCAGAAAAACAGGTATTCGCCTCTCCACAGATCTGACCTGTAACTTGGTCTGGTTTGGTCTCCATGAAGATAGAAAGGTTTAATAATCTGTGTATCATTTGCTCATTTGTTTTTCAATATAAAAACAAAAATAAGAAAATTAAAAAAGACTATTTTCTTCATTATTTGACTCCAAAACCAAAATGAAAAAACAGACAATGATTCAGTTTTTTCAGTTTTCGATTTTGCGTTTAAATGAATAATGAAAAAACGGATAACGACCGTTTCCCGTTTTCGTGAGTTAAACTGTGATGCTGGACTTTTGCACTGCATATAAAC